ATAAGATATTATAAATAATATAATTAATATTACTTTTATCACAACTGTGCTGATATAAAACAAAAATAATGTTCTATGTATCTGTGACCAAGAATATTATAAATTTAGAATTTTTTGTTTGTAAAAAAAAGTCGGAAAATGTTAAATTTTATAGTTAATAAAATTCTTATAGTTATTTGCTTCATCCTAAGTCATTCGCTTCATTCTGAGTCATTCAGGAAATAATCTAGCCGTATATCACTCAACCTATAAATTTAATTGATTAAACTACCCAAATAATTTTTTGCATGATTTTGCTTTTTAGAAAAGTTTCATGCACACCAATTTTAGAATAAAAATCCTCGACCGCTTCGCAGTCTCGGGGTTTTATTAAATTATTGTGCATTCAATTTCAATTTTCCAAGCAAAATCACGCGCAAAATATGTTTGAATAGTTTAATCGATTAAATTTATAGGCCTCGTAATATAATATATGGATAAACAATTAAAAAAACTAAATTAAAAAATTCAATATAAACTGATTTTTTTAATAAAACACAAGAGTTTTACACTACAAGGAATGACTTAACGCTCATGCTATGTCACAATATAAAGAAAATATACGAGGAGCTGGACAACAGAAAAAGAAATGGTGAAGAAAACTTGATTGTTCGAGTTAGGAATGGTGGTCCATTTATTGTTAGGAAATCTGATAACAAAAGCGAGAAGTCGAACTCAAAAAACGAAGAACAGTAAGTCAACAAAATGGTAGTTTGTCGATACCAGAATGTTCGCGGACTGAAATTTGGATACTATTTCGTGTTTGTTTAATTTACCTTTAACATGTTTCAACCAGCCATTAAACGTATTTTCCAACTTAGTTTTATAAAGTTGGTGTCTGGTTTCGTCTGATTTTTAAATCATTTTATTGAAACTGCTTAATTATCGGAATCACTAAATTTGTCGCGGACATTTAGTACTCTAGAACTTGCCATTTTTAAACATGTGAGAAAATTTGACATTTTCTTCTGGTACAAAACTCAGTCCTCTACCTGAATTTTTCTCTGAACACGCTTTTATAGTAAGTCGAACAAAAAAGTGAAAAATCTATTATTCACACCTAAGCCACACTTACACAGTGAATTTAACGTATTCTTTGAGAGTCTTAACGAATTAGTTACTGCTTACTCGTATTAACGATTTAGTTCTTACAAATCGGAAGGTATGGCATTAAAAACTCATCCTTTTTGCACTATTTGCAACTATGATTGAGCACGGCAGGTAATTGAAAATACATTTGGTATCATAGTTGCTAGATGGCGAATTTTACACACTACCATAAACGCCTATATATAAACATAAAAAAATAGAAAATGTGGATGAAATTGTAAAAGCAGTGACAGTATTCCATAATTACTGTCAAACAGAACTTGGGAACAGTGAGAATGGCAAAAATATTTATTGCCCACCAGGTTTTGTAGGTACTGATGATCAAAATGGTTCATGGAGGGATGGCCCAACATCACTACAGTCAGTAGGCAAATTGTACTCTGATACAGGAAGGCGACTACGCTATTCAATTAGAAACAGTTTAGCACAATATTTTTTATAATGGTGTATTATATCACTACATGGTGTAGTGGCCTGGCAAAACAATGTTATTAATAATGGGAGAATATTTTAGTTTTTGTGTGAATTTGTTACGGTGACTATGACCGGCAAAAAAATCTGGGCCCAGCTAACGAATCATCTGAATTCGTTAGGCATTAATATGAACAAAATAAAGGATAATTCGTCGATTCTAAAAAAAGAATGAAAAATCACTGTTCCAGTGTTTCCACGGACAATGCCACTAATACCAGTAGTAATATCGCAACTAATACTACTCATGCTACGACTGATCCGCGAGCAATGCCCATACCACTAAAGTCGCTACTAATGCCAAATTGTGTTATACTGCTAATGGCACTAATGCGATCGCTTTGTACACAACAATTCCATCGCGGTTTACACCTCGCATTAGTATATCACTGATTGGCAAATTAGAGGAAACCAAGAATGTTTTTCTCATTTTATCAGCAAAGTCGCAAAAAGTCGCAGTATTTTATTTTTACTGTATGAAAGTCCAATGTTTACTAAAGTAAAACGTATATAATGATAAAATTCTTCGAAATGCGCTAAATCTCTAGAGCATAATAAAAATGTCACAAATTTAATCAAATTTTGAACCCAACTTTTAGTTGCAAAAAACATCGTTGTTATAGAGAATATCAAAATTAATAATACGTTTCTGTAGAATACATACCTGCAGCTTGCTGAGCCATGGAGAATATTTTAGTTTTGTTACGGTGGCTTCTGACCGGCAACACATTCATTGGGCCAAGAAGCAAATCATCTAGACTGACATTAATATGAACAAAATAAAGGATAATTCGTCGATTCTAAAAAAGAAAAGAAAATCACTGTTCCAGTGTTTGTGGACAATGCCACTAATACCAGTTGCTTTTTCAAAAGTTTTGATGACCATAGAATACAGAAAAGACCGAAATATTATATTATGCACAGAAAAAAAATTTGGATGCAGATCTGTAACCAGTGAAGGGCAGTAATGTCGAAGGTTTAGTTCTACCGTGTATAATAAATGCAATTTGTAGGGCCCGAATAATAAGTAAAATTTCTTGGTTAGTTTTTCAATACAATTAATTTTTTGCTTTTTTTTTATAAAAGTACAATATTACTTGACTATTTCTAGCTATATTTTGAAAAAAAAACTTTTTCACTGATGCGTACTAAATTAATTAATAAATTAGTATAAAATAAAAAATAAAATATGCTATTTAACCTTGAGTTTTGTTGAGTGCCCAAAGTTGCCCAATTTATTGGCTGATGTTTTATGAAAGATTGGACATTACCCTTCATGTATTTGTCAAACCATCTTGCGCAACTTTGCGCAACTTTAAAAAAAATATTTTTAAAGTAAAGTAAAAGTAAGTATGTCCCTGGTACTTTGAGTAATAGATACTATAGGTCTTTATGATTTATTTAGATTAAGTTCGTGTGATTTTAATAAAATCTGATACTCATGAATCGCCTGTAATCAAGCACATAGTTAGGGGGTCCAAGAGTCCTAGACCCTTCAGCCCCACCCCACCTCAAATCTACAAATTTTGTGGATTTTAACTGAATTAATGCTTAGATTGAGGCTTAGATAATATACAATGTCCCCACTCCTTTTTTATCTTTTTAATGGAACAACATGGAGATTTGAATAAGGCAATATGTAGTAGTATGACATAAGCAGTATGTAGTCTAAATATGACAGTTTAAAATTTCAAGATGGCGGCTTAACTTATTAAAATATCCGCACGTAAATTCAAACTATGATATGTACTAAAATAATGAACCGATTTTAAAAATTTAAGCATTTAAACAAATTATTTTTAACTAACCTAACTGAACACATTACATTACGCTAAATTTCAAATCTTTTAGTTGCTCCAATCCAAAAATAGAAGGAGAAAAAAAATTCCGGCACCCAAAACCACCCTTCCCCAGAAATGGTTATTAAAATTTTTGGAACCCCCTCATTATCCGAAATTAATTTTTAGATGCTTGCCTGTAATAGGTACTCGAAAAATCTAGCCCATACTTTCTTGATTACGTGCCGACTAGTCATTTTGAGGCATGTGAGACCACGATTGAAAACAATTATTTTTTACTTCTTCAAAACTAGAATCCAAAAACAATATTTATTTTTTTATCAAAGTTGTTGGTTACATACGGATAAAGAAATATATCAAAAAGACGGATAAACAGACAGACAGACACACAGACATGCCACAAGACAACAATATTCGAAATGGCTTGCAAGGCAAAAGTATAAAAGTTTTGTCATCCGGATATTTTTTCTCACATTATATTGATGAGCTAATATGCTGGGTATATACGTGAAGTATAATTTAATTAACTAAAATTTTGAAGATTGGCTACCTAGAAATTCAATTAAGCAAAAACTGTTAAATTCTATATATTTTTGGTTGATCCATATATCTTTGAAGGTTTTGGCCAACGATTCTTCAATCGGCCCCACCGTGCGGCGTAGGGGAAATCATTGGAATTCACCAAAAGCACTGTGTCAAAAACAATTGCCAAAGTAGTAGACAAAATATTGCAAAAAGCAAATCTGTGGATAAAATTTCCATCTTCCAATGAGGAAATACGTGAAGCCAAACGTCTTTGGCAGCAAGTTTATTCATTTCCAGCTGCAATTGGTGTTTTGGATTGCACACATGTTCGAATTCCAAAGCCTTCTGAATTTGGAGATGAATATATAAATCGAAAAGGTTTTGCTAGCATCAATGTACAAGCAACTTGCGATGCACGGGATAAATTTACAAGTGTAGATGAACAATGGCCTGGTTCTACCCATGACTGGAAAAGGTCTAACATTTGTGCCGTCCTACGTCGCAATACACCCAAAGCGTTGCTCCTGGCAGACGAAGGGTATGGAATAGAGCCCTCTTTAATGACTCCATATCGAAACCCAAATACACCAGAAGAAACTCGATACAATAATTTGTTGAAGAAGGAAGGGGTGTGTATTGAACGTTGCTTTGGGCAGTTGAAGCAAAGATTTTCCATATTGCAATATAAAGCTCGATTGAAGCTTGAAAATATCCCTAAACTAATTGTGTGCTGCGTTGTTTTGCAAAAACACTAGGCGATCCAGACTTTGAATTAGAAGAACTGCATCCTAACGACGTAAATAATTATATTGAAGGAAATGAGAACGACGACAATATTAGGAGAAGTGGAATGCGAAGACGGGACTAAGTTGCCCATCTTATTTTTCAACAAAATTTGTAAGGTAAGTTGAAAAATTTAATGGTACAAATTGGAACTCAAAATTTATTGAACATATCAAAAATAACTACATACTATAAAAAAAATCCGAGAAAAAATCTAAACATATTTTAAGGGAATAATTTCATTTAAGAAAAATAATTTAAGATCTCCTCGTTTAACAAAAAAAAACTACTTGCAAAACCTCAACGTAAATATCGCTCTTTTCAAGTAGTACGTTGGGTTAGTTTTACAATTGTTTCTGTCACTCTATCATTTTCTTTAACTATTGACTCTTCCTGTTGTAACTCTCATCAATTTTCTTTTTTTTTAGCCTCAAGACTTCCAATTGTTCTAACAAAACTAATCTCTGTAATTCAGCCATCAATAAATTTTGCGTTTCTGTGGTCTCTGGAAGATGATGTTTTTTAATTTTCTTTGACACCATGCTTTTTACAGGTTTTGGAACCAAAACGGATGACTCCGACCAGATGTCTACGGGAACAGCAGTCTCTATTGGTGGCATAACGCCAACTTGCACAGCACCTGAAATTTAATTTCATGTAATGACCTGCTGTGGCCGGCCGTAGCTCCAGCGTTAGTGTGTCGATCTCCGGAGCGGAAGGTACTGGGTTCGATCCCCAGCCAGTACGGTCGCTTTATTTATTTAAATAAAAATATTTATGTATCTAAATAGAGCGACCAACAAGCCGCCACCTCAAGGACGGCAATGGCAAACCACCTTGAGTATATTTGCCTTGTACAGCCTCTCAAATATGCCGTTCGGGTTCGGTCATAAACTGTAGGTCCCGTGTACTTGTGAAACACTGATGACACACATCACAAGTACATGCGAGAGGTAGCCGACGCTCTATATAGAGTATGGCACTGTAAGAAGAAGAAGAATGACCTGCTCTGTAAATAAATTTAAAAAATTATTCCTACTTGGTATTTTGCGTAAGGTCGGTTTTCTATCACCATCCATTAACTTCCAAAATGCTTGTTCCCACGACTTCAACTTTATTGGTTTGTTGCCAGTTTTACTTAAATCTAATTTTTGTTTGATTTTTGTTTTCATGTTATTGATTTTTTTAGATAATTGCTTTACACTTATCATTTTTCCGCTCACCGCCTGCCATTCCATTTGTAACTTTATTAACGCATTCTCTTTCGCTTTTTTTATAGTGGGTGACTTTTCTAGTACTACTCTCTATAATTTTGCAGTAACTCAACAAATTTTACCTGATCGTTCTCTTCACCGAACATGATTTCCTCGTCGTCGCTCATAGTGTTGCTTCTTCCGCACTAAATTGCTGCTTTCTATTTAACCAAATAACCAAATATCATTATTTTTCCTGTCTGAACTTGTAAAAACGTGTAGCAAATGGTCTAGATGCCGGATCATTTACTACGGAGCAAAAGCAAATGATTATTCATTAGAAACCAAGCAAATGCTTTTTCTTCCACCTTTTGCTTCAAAGCATTTGCTTTTGCTTTTGTTGTATACTTCGAGCAAATGCTACATTTTTATTCATGAGACCCAATGTAATTAATTAATTTTATGCTTTGCTATTAAAATTTTTGTCATTATATGCATATGTTTCAATCTTTAGGGATATTTTATATACACAGTTGGGGGAGAGAACCCTAAGGATGCCATATATCGAGCCCTTGAGAAAATATACTCCAACTATGTGGGCCAATTTGTCTCCTGGACGGGAGCGGAGGGTAATTTTCGGGTCAAAGATCTAAAACTCACTGCTATCATGAGAGGTAAGTTATATTTTTTGCAACTTAATGCCCTTAACTTTTTTTAAAATTTATTGCTTTAGAAATGATTAGACAGCAATTTGAAATGGTTACGGAAGAAGAGTTTTAATCGTCAAGTAAGGCATGGTTCCAGCATGCTAGGACACGATATGAGAGAATCAGAACTCAATAATTTGAGCTTTCAATATGTCGTCTTTGTCTTTGTATATGCCGAATTTATGATTTATCCAACGTTTATTCAAGATCACGTTTTTATAGTTTATATGTTTAGAACGTTCAAACATTTAGAACGTGGTGATCAAGGTGTTAATATGTTAGATGAGGCGTGTAAAGAACATGATATAGCATATTCAGAGAGAAAAGACTAAAAAGACTAAATCTGAAGCTGATAAAAAATTACTTAAAGCAGTTTAAGCAAAACCACTTCAAACGATGCTTCATGGAAAATCTTAAAAGTTAATGAAAGTGTTACACAAGATGATTCAATAGTGAGTTATCAGCATCATACTCACCAACCATATTCATCAACAACCTTAAACAACAACGATGAAATTAGAATCCCGATACAAACTCAAGATCTGTATACTCTACCTAGTCAAAGGTATCTCTATATTCAAGGAAAATTAACAAAATCTGACAACACAGCTCTGACAACAAGTGCTGATGTACAATTTGTGAATAATGGTGTTGCTTTCGTGTTCGACGAAATTCGTAATGAACTGGGAGGAGTGATTATTGATAGAGTTAGAAATCCTGGAGTAACATCAACTATGAAAGGTTATATTTCATTTACTCCTACAGAGGCTAACGGCTTAGATAACGCCGGATGGCATGATACACAGAATTCATCATTACTCGATAGCAATGGAAAATTTAACGTCTGTCTACCATTGAAAATGTTGATGGGTTCTGCTGAAGACTATCATAAAATTTTAATGTATGTAAAACAAGAACTAGTTCTCATACGAAATAATTCTGATTTGAATGCTATTAAATCGTCTACAGAAACTAAGGATAAGATCACTTTGAATAGTGTTGTGGAAAATGCCTCATATATCAGTTAATGATAGCAAAATTTGCGATTGTTAAAAAATTTTCAAAACAATAGAGATTTACCGATTGCCTTTAGGAGTTGGGAACTGCATGAATATCCAGAATTGCAGCAGACTAAAAACCATACATGGGCTGTTAAATCAAGTAATCAGTTTAGAGAATTAGAATTAGAATAAGTGGGAGGGGGGTTAATCTCTGCGACCTTAGAGATATATTGTGTCCCCCTTTCTTGAGTTATAACTCATCATACAGTCCCAGGACTTCCTACGGAGACCCGTGTTCCTCACAGTCGAGGAGCTACGACCCAGGCCGGGTAGACGAAACGGTAGCTTGTGTCGCTTGTTGGGTTTAGAGGTAGGAGGTAGGCTCCCGACCCTTGGAGGAGGTGGTAGCTTGTATGTCACTTGCGGAGGATGGTGTCACGCAAGTGTCAACCACCTCTCCTGTAGTTCTCTTTGGGTTTGGCCCCTTGGAACTTTCATTGTTACTGTTCCCAGTGTCGCTAGGGGGTTTCCCCACAGCTTCACCGGTGATGTTTTTATTACTATTATTACCAGATCTCATAGTGTTCCTATGAGTCGCTAGGGACAGTCGGTCCACTTCTACAGAGCCCCGCATGAAGAAGTAAGGGGTAAAATACAATGGGGTGCCCCCCGGTGCTCCAAGGTCGAGGCTGTGCGTAGCCCCGCCCGGTATCGTTATATGTCTTGGTGCAATTCCCTGGCCACGACACTACAGTCAGGGACAAGACGATGAGTGAGATGCTTCTTAGACCAAGCCAAGTGCTAGAAGGGATTCCTCCCAGCACCTGACCAGGAGCTTCCCCACCAACGACAAGGTCTTGCATCTCCTAGGGGAAGTTGGAAAGTTGGAAAAGCCTCGTTATATTATTATTGGATTTCAAACAAATATAAAAAAAACCATATAACAAAAGATATAAGTCGATTTCAACACTGTAACTTAACCAATTTAAAAGTCTATTTAAATGATTATTATTATTAATTCTGTTTATCCTTAAGACAATTTAAATATAGAGTTTACTAATAATAGATAATATGCAGTTCTGTATGAAATGTACACTCAGTTCCAAATATTATACTACTATAAACCGTTTAGTGAACCGACTTACTGTCCCATTCAGTTCAAGAACAATGCTTCTCTGGTGGTTATAGATTGTTCACATCAAGGAGAGGACATTTTAAAGGGTTTGGTTTGGTTTTTTGCAACCAAAGCAGTGCAGTCGATATTCGTATTGAATTTGAAACAGGCAAATCGATATCTGCCAAAACTACTGCATATTGTCTAATTTTACATGATAAATTAGTAAAGTTTTTGGGTTTTACAACCCACTAACAAGTACAGTAAAAGTACTGTCAACATGTTTTGATTTGTTTATCACTCTAAAATTGCTTTAGTATTATAAGAATCAATTAAAATCAGAGCAAGTAGAAGTATCCTCATTATTTTAAAATCAAGAATCTTTATAATGTTCATAATTGATGTACAAGGTTTCCAACACGGACAAAGAAATTTTATATGTAAGGAAATAGCAATTGTTAACATTGATAATGGTCATTTAGTTGGTCATAAATTCATCATTTACCCAATTGGATTGAAAAAGTATAATATAAAAATTCAGAATCATATGTGCTGGTCAACTAAATATTTACATGGTTTAGAATTTGATGGATCATCTGGACAAAATTATCTACCCTATGAAGATATTTCAAATTTTATTAAACAAAGTCGATTTCAACACTGTAACTTAACCAATTTAAAAGTCTATTTAAATGCTTATTATTATTAATTCTGTTTATCCTTAAGACAATTTAAATATAGAGTTTACTAATAATAGATAATATGCAGTTCTGTATGAAATGTTCACTCAGTTCCAAATATTATACTACTATAAACCGTTTAGTGAACCGACTTACTGTCCCATTCAGTTCAAGAACAATGCTTCTCTGGTGGTTATAGATTGTTCACATCAAGGAGAGGACATTTTAAAGGGTTTGGTTTGGTTTTTTGCAACCAAAGCAGTGCAGTCGATATTCGTATTGAATTTGAAACAGGCAAATCGATACCTGCCAAAACTACTGCATATTGTCTAATTTTACATGATAAATTAGTAAAGTTTTTGGGTTTTACAACCCACTAACAAGTACAGTAAAAGTACTGTCAACATGTTTTGATTTGTTTATCATTCTAAAATTGCTTTAGTATTATAAGAATCAATTAAAATCAGAGCAAGTAGAAGTATCCTCATTATTTTAAAAACAAGAATCTTTATAATGTTCATAATTGATGTACAAGGTTTCCAACACGGACAAAGAAATTTTATAAGTAAGGAAATAGCAATTGTTAACATTGATAATGGTCATTTAGTTGGTCATAAATTCATCATTTACCCAATTGAATTGAAAAAGTATAATATAAAAATTCAGAATCATATGTGTTGGTCAACTAAATATTTACATGGTTTAGAATTTGATGGATCATCTGGACAAAATTATCTACCCTATGAAGATATTTCAAATTTTATTAAACAAAATGTACATTCAGAAGTTATTGCAGTTAAAAAACTTGAGAAGAAAAAATGGATGGTGGAAGAAGCACGTTAAGTTTAGAAAAAGCTAAAACTTAATTAAAAACTAAACTTAATTACGTATCGAGATTAAATAGTGAAAAAAATAACCACTTACCATCTCTTATTACTACATGAACAACTAATTCGTAGTAAAAAACATGAAGTATATACAATAAACAAAAAAAAAATTGCACTTACACCACATGATGATAAAAGAATTGTTAATTATATCTTTACATACAGGGTGGCCTATTGAAAACGTTCCGCAAGGCATAACGACCAGCGTATTTATTTTTTGAAGAAATCCAAAAACATGTCAATTTTGTTTGCGAGGGGGAAAATTTTTGCCCCAAAAATGATTGCAAAATCTTCAACCCTCTAAGCGGGGGTGTTATCCCCCATGTTTTTTCAAATGGGAAGGGGGGTCAAGTGGCGCCGCAATGAAAAGGGCTTTCTATTCTCTATATTTTCCCGCTTCGTTTTTGAAAATCGGTAGAGTCATTTTGAAAATATGAAGGATTGAAATTTGAAAAATACTTTTTGCAAGAAAACGCATAAATTGAATTAATGTAAAAAACTTATCTTATTAATGAAGGAAATGCTGAAAATGTTGCCCGTCAACCTCCATACAGTAATACAAATTATTTTCAAACCGTTCTCGAACATTCTGAAGAACTTGGGGGGTCCACTACGCGACAAACATCAATAATTATTCGTCTTCGCAGGTCTTCCAATGAGGCGGGTGGAGTGCTATACACTTTACTTTTTATGTGTCCCCTTTAAAAATAGTCTGAAGGAGTTAAGTCGGGTGACCGGGGAGGCCTCTCAATTTCACCCCTTCGTCCTATCCACCGACCGGGAAAGATATTGTTTAAATAACTACGCACATTTTGAGAGTAATGTGGAGGTGCACCGTCTTGTTGAAATATTAGTTCCGCTTCAACGTATCCAGGATTGTCCTCTATGATGTCAGTTAGGGCTGGGTCGATGGTATCTCCCAGTAAATCCAAGTACATATCACCTGTTAGATTTCCTAGGAGAAAAAAAGGACTCACAATAGAATTTCCAAAAATACCAGCCTACACGTTAAATTTCTGAGGGTTTTGTGTGTGCACTTCGTCAAAAACCCTGGAGTTGTCCTCAGCCCAGTACCGAGAGTTGTGCCGATTAACTACACCGTTCAAAAAGAAAGTACACTCATCCGAAAAACACACATTAAATAACGCATAAGTCACAGAACAGCTATCTAGCAACTACCGCACCTGATCGTTCAACCTTGTGGCAACTGCAAAAATGCGTAAACATCTAGAAATAATAAGAAAAAACAGCAAATTGGTGAAAGGAATTTATCTTTATCATTTACTCTATCTTTATCATTTTACTAAAATCAATGATAAATGTTTAAATAAACT